AGATGCTAGATATTGATGAATTAAATGATTTTGAAGGCACACACATTCCACCATTGGTATTGAGCTTTATATAGGAAAGAAATTTGTGCTTTCATGTGTTAAATATATATTTTATGTAAATCATTACTTGTATACTACGTGCCTGATTGTTTGCCTTTTGACATGGAATTCCCTGTTGTGCAGATTGTTTGCAACTGCTGACACTAAATTAAGAAGTGTAATTCTTCCAGCAGCGTACTATTTTTTTTAATTTTTTTTCTCAGTGGTGATGAAAATTTAGTTAAACGGAAGTCCTGCACAACTATATCTTATTTAGAATGTTGTTAGATTATTTAAAATATTAGATTTATTTAAAATTTTGGATTATGTCTACTTGAACTTGGACTTGGGCTTGGACTTTGACTTAAGCGGGTATGGGGGCAGGGATTAGAAATTTATCCGCGGACGAGGATGGAGATGAAAATTATACTCGTTGACAAGGATGGACCAGGGATGGATGAAGATTTTTTAAGCAGGTACGAAAATAGAGATTATACCCCTTGCCCCCCGCTTCGGTCCACTGACATCCCTACATATCCTTAAGATATAGTGCCCGGATCTTAAACTCCACATTGATAAAAATCTCATACATTATTTATTTATTTTTTCTTAATTTAAATCTTAGCATCTGCAAAGACGGTCCACTAACCTTAATACATGAACATTAAACCACACAAAAGTCCAAGACTTCAGTTTGCCACCAAAACTAGTAGAATATTGACTTATCTAGCATCAAATAAAACTCTAAATTACATAAACATGACAATTTCCTAACTTCCTCCTTGATCATAAGGGAATATAATACATTGGATTTGGGAGTTTGAAGGATCGTGTGGCTACTGCAAAGCCCCGCAAGTCGCTCCATTGATCTCCACAGTTTCCATGAAGGGTGAAACCATGATATATCAACTCTCTTCTCTTCTCGGATTTGAATTCAGTAACTGTTTTATTCATATCAGGTGGTCTCCTGTTTCAGTCACAATGGAATGGAATGGATCAATCTTCATTACTAATGATATGCTGAACCCATGTTTTTGCCTTCCTTGGGGACGCTTTGACTTATATTTTGATCTCCTCAACTATGTCCTGTCTTTCATGCTTATCCCCATTGAAAACATGAAATTTAGATGAATCATAGTTTGAGTGCTCAATTATCTCTCATTATTATCTCAATTGTTATGTTTTTCACATTACACATCCAACTATGATTATCAATTTCACATTATTCTATTTACAGACAATGAAAACGTTTACTGTACTACACAAAATGAGTAAGACAATTTTCGTAAACCCAGTTAAAAAATATATATATATATTTCATAAACCATAGATTTTTTACCTCATGATAAGCCTTTCCCAATTGCTGTATCCTGCTTCGAACAGATTTTTCTTTGTAGCATTCCTCAAAGATTCATTGCGGCCAGTTAACAAGATTAACTTAAATCCCATCTTTTGGAGCTCCTTGTACAACACCAAACTTGCAGATAAAGCAGGGTCCACAGCCAAGTCCACCCACTCAGAGAAGAGAGCGGCAACATCAACATGTCTGGATGTAAATCAACAGTCTTAAAACCACCAACAAGGAGTTGAATGAACAAAAAATAATGTTGAAATGCACCAGTTTTATGGCAAAAAGAGTAGGGCCGGGGAAAGTAGGAAGATTATGAGGAAATGCTTTGGACATTGACAGATCTTATCTTACAAGTTCACTCTGGGGCTACTTGTAGGGATCTGAATGCATCAGTAGTTAGAGTGTGGTGGAACGGTATGAGCAATGCAAATTTACAAGAAATTAAACATGAAGAAAAATTCGTGTTATAGTGCGGTGTCGTGCTTTGGTAAGNAGAAATTAAACATGAAGAAAAATTCGTGTTATAGTGCGGTGTCGTGCTTTGGTATCTACCAATTAAGCGACGATAACTTGACGTAATCTTCCTCAGTCAAGTGACTCACCCGAAACCATTTAACTGAAAATACCCAACATTAGACAGCAACGTCTCGTCAATATCAAAGACCCAAGCGTCCTTGCCGTGGATGGAGACGTTAACCTCTTTTGCAAACTCCAACGCATTCTTGGCGACAACCTCCAAGTCCGACGAATAATGGTGGCAGGTGGCGTACTCCTCTACGAAATCCAAACACCTGGCCGGAATCTGGGTCCAAGATCTGGCGTTATCAGTCTCGACGGAGAGTCTCCAGCTGTCGCAGTACCAATTGTCGCAGTCGTTTGGAATTTTCCGGCGAATGGAGATCGGATTAAAGGTGAAGGAGTGGTGGCTTTTTGGGGAGGTTTCGAGGATTGAACGGGAAAAAGCGGTGGATGTGAATGTGATTAGGAATAAAACGACGAGACATTGGGTGGAAGCCATGACCGGAAAGTGGAAACCCAGAACGGGCTCTTTGTTCCAGTTATGGGGAGTATATGCAGATTAATAATTCAATATATATAAGCGGGAGCGAAAGAGTGAAATACTGATGGTCACATAACTCAAATAGTTGTTTTGAAATTTTAATACGGAAATATGGTATTTTTGAATTTATTTATTAAAATACAACATTTTTTAAAAATAGAATTAATAATTTCACTTTTATTAAAAATAAAAAGTGGATTCAACAATTCCGTATTTGTTAAAAAATAGAATCAATGATTACACTTTTAAATAAAAAATGTGGTTCAAAATAATGAGCTAAAAATGGATTTAGCGTGTTTCAACTGGTGTGAAGAAACTCGCTTCTCTCAACTCTCTCTTTTTCTCTCGGGTCTTTGTTGGCATTGTACATTTGATTTGGGAAGCAAAATCTTGAATCTAGTGAAAGCTCTTCCCTGTGACACTTCTGGGTTTTGTTCANCCCTAAAAGTTAATGATACCAAAACGTTTTTCATCTAAAACACAACAAATGCTTCTTTTTGGGAACGTGGAATCAATTAACAAGTCGAGGGACCAATATAAGACATCCAATAGTACTAGAGCAGTGAAATGAGATAAGAAATATAGTTTAAGGACATAAAGTGTAATTTATCATGGTAATAGGAGGCCTAAATATGCCCCTTCTTATATTATTCCCTTAACTTAGACCTATCAAAATTCGACACCACGCGATTAATCAACATGAATTAAGCGGGTTTAAGTGAGGCCTTAACAAGTTTGGGTGGTAAATGGGTTGACCGGCTAGACACATTTAATAAACGGGTNATTTTTTTGTTTGAATCCATTGAAATGGGTCCGAGTCTTCTAGACCTACTAGAAAAGAAATCTATGTTCTTTGCGGTGGTTTCCTATGTTATGTTTGAATCCTATGCTAAGGGTGTTGTGAAACCGGGTTCAGCTTGTGATTTTGCTATTTCTAATAGAAGAAAATTTTGTAGATCACCGAGGTCTCTTGTAGCTAGTGGACCAAAATTCACCGTCACATTTTCCATAAAATTTCAAGTGTATATTATGTGGTTGCCTATACCAAAAAAATAATAATAAAAAGACAACAAAACCNTTAATAATAAATTAATAATTATTTTAAAAAATTTAAGTTTTTGATCCTCAAGACATAGAAAAAAACTTAGACAAAGATCATCTGTTCCCATCAAGTAGACACATCCGATGACAGTGAACTGAGAAAAAATCGGTATTCGTTCAAACCCGTCTGTTTGGATCAGGGATGGACTATACGTATTGGATGGTTAACGTATACGAGAATACCCGTATAAATCTATGTGGCGATGAAAGCAGGGATGAACTTACCCTTACCCCTGCCCCGCCCTTCCCCTCCCCATCCCATCCCCGCTATACCCGTTAAAAAAAATAATATATATATATATATATATATATANATAGATAAAGAATAGATAACATTATCTAATTGGGTCATTCCTAATATTTAAACCAAAGACAACCTAAGGGTATTAAGGTCATTTTAACTTTTTTGTTAGTAGAGTTAACGGTTTGTTTTAGTTCATTAACCACGGGAGGGTTATGTGCTATTTTAGAAGGACAGGATGGTGATCTGCAATAGCAGTAAACCATAAGGGGATAAAATGAACTTTACCCTATAATTGTTATAATTCAAGTTAAGAATTTTTTGTTAATCGTTTATAATTTTTATACTTTAATGATCATTTGATAAAAAACATGATAATAGAAATATTAAAAAGAATTACAATTTAACTCCTTCAATTAGGCTGATGTCTCACATTGTCCCTCAACAGTCATGTATCTTACATTGCACTTTTAACTGAGATTGTTGGTTCTACATTGGCCCAATTGTAAGCATCCGTGCCAGTTTGACCACATGAATTATNCTGTTTGCCTTTTGACATGGAATTCCCTGTTGTGCAGATTGTTTGCAACTGTTGACACTAAATTAAGAAGCGTAATTCTTCCATCAGCGTACTATTTTTTTTTAATTTTTTTTCTCAGTGGTGATGAAAATTTAGTTAAACGGAAGTCCTCCACAACTATATCTTATTTAGAATGTTGTTAGATTATTTAAAATATTGGATTTATTTAGAATGTTGGATTATGTCTACTTGAACTTGGACTTTGACTTAGGCGGGTATGGGGGCAGGGATTAAAAATTTACCCGCGGACGAGGATGGAGATAAAAATTATATTCGTTGACAAGGGTGGACCAGGGATGGATGAAAGTTTTTTAAGCAGATACGGAAATAGAGATTATATCCCTTGCCCCCCGCTTCGGTCCACTAACATCCCTACATATCCTTAAGATATAGTGCCCGGATCTTAAACTCCACATTGATAAAAATCTCATACATTATTTATTTATTTTTTCTTAATTTAAATCTTAGCATCTGCAAAGACGGTCCACTAACCTTAATACATGAACATTAAACCACACAAAAGTCCAAGACTTCAGTTTGCCACCAAAACTAGTAGAATATTGACTTATCTAGCATCAAATAAAACTCTAAATTACATAAACATGACAATTTCCTAACTTCCTCCTTGATCATTAGGGAATATAATACATTGGATTTGGGAGTTTGAAGGATCGTGTGGCTACTGCAAAGCCCCGCAAGTCGCTCCATTGATCTCCGCAGTTTCCATGAAGGGTGAAACCATGATATATCAACTCTCTTCTCTTCTCGGATTTGAATTCAGTAACTGTTTTATTCATATCAGGTGGTCTCCTGTTTCAGTCACAATGGAATGGATCAATCTTCATTACTAATGATATGCTGAACCCATGTTTTTGCCTTCCTTGGGGACGCTTTGACTTATATTTTGATCTCCTCAACTATGTCCTGTCTTTCATGCTTATCCCCATTGAAAACATGAAATTTAGATGAATCATAGTTTGAGTGCTCAATTATCTCTCATTATTATCTCAATTGTTATGTTTTTCACATTACACATCCAACTATGATTATCAATTTCACATTATNAAGATGAGTGGCTTTATTTTAGTGAACTTTAGTTTAGTCTTCAAGATGAGTGGCTTTATTTTAGTGAGCTTTAGTTTAGTGAACTTCAAGATAAGTGGCTTTATTTTAGGAAGCTTTATTTTAGAGAGAGGTCAAAATATAAGGAGAAAAAACAAATAGTTTTGTAATTTGTTCAACACATTTCGACGTATTCAACTAACTAAATATTATTTTTGTTGAGAGTTAAAAAAAAATAATAAAACTTTAAAAAATGATTCAATAAATTAAAATGAATGATTTGTTTTGTGGAGGCAAATTTAGCATATAATAATAAAACTTAGTGGGCAAATTTAACATTTAAGAAAACTGACACAAAAAAGTTTTTTGGCAAAACAAAATTGAGTGGAAGTCCTATCCAACTCCGCCTCTAGAATCGGGGCAATACTACTTGGACTTAATTTATTGATCTAATTTGTTGATTTAATTATTCAAAACAATTCAATTAACAGTAAACTCCTGAATTTGTTGGGACCCACAACTAATTTGTTGATTATAATAGATTAGGTCCACAAATTATGTTAATAAATTAGATCAAAATAATATTATTAATGGAATGACATTTCACTATATATATATGAGTCTAATCTCCAATAAATCTATGCCTAATAGTCAAAGTTTGGATATGATTGGTATTAATGCATTGTGACGACCCCTACACATATTGTGATCGCTAATTATATTATTGTGGATAAATTAGTTTTTATGACTTCAATTATCTTTGTAAGATCTAAAAGAATGTTTAGTTTTTTGTAGTGTACATGAGGACCGATTTGCTCATTCAGCCACAATTCCATTTGTTTGTCCAACAGAGTAGGAGTTTAGGAAGTCATACTCGATTAATTATGTCATATTAAGATTGATAATCTTATCTTTATCATACTCGACTAATTATGTCATATTAAGATTGATAATCTTATCTTTATCACACTTGACTAATTATGTCATATTAAAAACATTATGTGCAACACATAAAATCTTAGGGATATTACAATAGATTCTACTGGCTAGACCATTTATTTTATTTCAAAAAAAAAAAAACATTATGTTTATTAGCAAAAACGAGCAAGGATGTTTAACTTCTTTATTTTATTTACAATATTCTCAAGAAAGCAACTTGCACTGACAATATAATGATGTCTGATAGGTGTAGTGACGAAAGTACTGGATAACAATGACGAGTTTGTGGGTTTGAATCAACGAATTGCCGTGTTGTTCAAATATTGCCAAATCTTATATTTGTAAATGGGTTGATTTCTTTTATTCTCGGTACTTAGCTAGGTAATAACATTTATTGACCCTTTAAAAATAGTCTATCCTTCAATACAAAAACGATACCATGTAAATATTGTCACTTAGTATCACCCATTAATCGTAAACAAATATGAAAATTGACCCCATATAAATTTGTTATTGTAAGTTAATAACTACCGATTCTCCCACCATATAATTTAATAACTACTTAAATAGAGTTCGCCTTTTCCATTTGATTTTTTCTTATTAGTTAATAATATTATGTGACAATGCTGATATGGTATTATAATTGTTCCTTCATTTGGGCCAAATGCAAAAAAATAAATATTATTTCCAAGGCCCAACTTCTCATATGATTCAATTCTAAGGACACGTTTGTTTGGGAGATTAAATATATGGGTGGTATTGGAAACGTATTCGTTACATATCCAATACCAATAGAAATTAATACCGGTAAGAGAAAATATTTCTATCTCCTTTCATGTTTGTTTGTTTAATATGTACTATGATGAGTCCTACAAACAACCATATATTCTATCACATTTTATATAATAAATATATCATTCTACTTTTAACATCATTCATTATATTATTCTGTTTGTGTAACGCTTTTACACAATGTTTGGTATAATACATAATATAACAATCTATATCCAAAAAATTCCGAATAATGTAAAAAAT